CACACACACACACACACACACACACACACACACACACACACACACACACGCACATATGTAGTAGGTATATTTCCATGTCCTAGTGGGAGATTCATTCAATTTTGCTCGCCTATCGATGCAAGTAGCATGAGGCCAGCCCAGGGGTTGGAGACTTACCTGTTCGGCGATGCGTATCTCATCCAATCTCTCTCTCTCTCTCTCTCTCTCTCTCTCTCTCTCTCTCTCTCTCTCTCTCTCTCTATCTATCTATCTATCTATCTATCTATCTATCTATCTCACATACACACACACGGCCACCGTTGATCCCCGCAAATCAACGCTCCGATAACGTAGTTTGGCCCCCCGCGCCCCGCACGACCGGCAAAAAAAAAAAAAAACGCAGGATCACCGCACTCTTGCACTCACGCACCGCACCGCACTCCCGCACTCGTCTGCCGCAGGCCCACCGCACTCTCGCACTCACGCACCGCACCGCACTGCACTCAGGCCCGCATCCGCCCACCACCGACACACAGGCCCACAGCGCCCCAGTCCCACCACGAAACGCCCCAGTCCCGACAACCTCCACACCGAATTTCGCTGGGCCCAGCGGGAAGCGTCACGCTGGGCCCTTTGCATTCTTTAAGAGTATAGGGAAAAATCTCAATAAACAGAACCTTGAGGTTCTGGCTCCATATCCATTCTGGGGAGCGACAGTCCAGTGCCTTTTCCACCAGCAAGTCAGGCTACCAGAGTGGCACGGGACCACTTGCCCGGTCGGGCCAAAAAAATAAAATTAAAATAAAATTAAAATAGCATTTTTCAACTTTATTTTTTATTTTAAATTTGGTGAAGAATTTCGATGTCGCCCTGAGGCAAAAGTTGTTCAGTTTATTTCTCTGCATAGCATACCTTTTCTCAGGTTTTTTTTTTTTTTTTTTTTTTGCTGGGACCCACTTTGACCCTTCCACCGCCGGGCCGCCCAGGCAAACAAGGCGACCCGGGCGGCCCCGGCTGGTAGCCTAGCCAACAAGTCAAATAATTACAACACTGGCACACTTGAATGCTTCTGGTTGAGAGACCTGAAGGGCGGCACCGATTGCTTCCGAAAGGAAGGATCCAATGTTTTCCGTAGTTCTTGTCTGTTAACTTGCCGGTTTCTGATCTGTAGACTACTCGTCTCAGCTGTTCTGCTATCTGTTGGGATTAACTTTCTAAAGCTCTGTTTATATCCGTCCTTGTGTATGCTGGGGCCTGCTGAGCGTTGCTGTCTTTCTGATTGTAGTTTGCTACTGTTTCTACAGCTATGGTTTAAGGAGGGAGCTTGGTAAGACCCATTGTGAAGAAAGCTGCGGGGATCGGGTAGGTTTGGGGGCTTAGAAGACAGGGTGTCTGAGATGGGCGTTTTTTTGGTGATCTTGGGGGATAAAAATGTCTGTGGTTTTGGGACGGCAGATAGGATTTATTAACTTTATTAGGGTTTAGGGTTTAGGGTATTAGGGGTATTGTGGGCTGCATTAGCCTTGTAGTGAGACGACACGACAGGGAGCAGGAAAGTGAGATGGCCGGTGCGATTGGGGACGAGGACAGAAGATGATTGGCGCCGTACTCGATTCAGGTGCAGTGAGGTACTATGATTGCAGAGAGGTATTTGTGTTGCTCGGCAAGGCCTTTGGGGCTGCCTGCTGGGGGCGATCTTACGATCGCGTGGAGATCCGGACCGTCGGGCCTGCCGACGGCCCGGATGTTCGCGCGATCTTAAGATCGCGCGCATCCGGACCGTCGGGCCGAACGGCCCAGATGCGAGATTTCACCGTTTAGGGATTTTAATAAGTGTAGCGATCTCTGTTTGGCTGTCGTACCAAACTCAGTTGTGTTTCTTATTTTGCCCCATCTTGCTAACCTGACTCCTCTCCTACTAGAGAGGCCTCTAGGAGAGTGAACTGGACTGATGCTCCCCAGAATGGAACCGCAAGGTTCTGTTTCTATACACACACACAAAGAAAAGAAGAAGAAGAAGAAGAAGGAGGAAAGAAAAGAAAGGTCTCTCGTAGCTCAGTGGTTAGAGCAAATGGCTGATAAGTGCACCAGTTTTGACTTCTTTGTGGAGGCTGTCCTCCCTCCAATGTCTAAGATACCCTCGCATGGACAAGGATCTCAAATGTCGAGAAATGGGTACAACGTTCTATAAAACTAACAATTATCATCGACTTCCTTCGTGTGTTAAGTTAAGCAGAACCCACCATGCCAGACGAACGACTCCTAAGTGAAATGAAATGTACATGGACAGGCGCAGCATTGCTGTCCATGTCCTACCACCCTTGAGGTTGTCCCCACCATATCTCCCCCTGGATCCCCTCTGGAACCCTTCTGCAAACAGTGAAGTCCTGACAAATTCACCCTGAGACTCTTCTGATATAGAACTCGCCGCTGGTTGTGTGTGGGTATCATACTGCCCTGGAGGTTGTGCCCATCCTATCCTATCCTATATCTTCTATCACCAATGAGGCTGTGACCGCCATATTTCTACCTGGCTCCCCTCTGGAACCGTTCTGCAAACAGTCAAGTCCTGGCATTATCCCGAGACTCTTCTCATGTAGTACTCGCTGCTGCTTGGGTGTGCATATCCTACCACCCTCGCGGTTGCGCCCCCCGTATATTTCCCCCGAACGGTACCACCCTCGAGGTTGTGCCCACCATATATCTCCCCCTTCCTCCCCTCTGGGGCCTTTCTGCGAACGGACAAGTCCCAACCACTCTAAGGCTCGTCCATTAGAGTGGCCGAAGCTGTCCTTGAATTGTGCTGTGTCAACTCCCATTCATTCTGGGGTGCCCAGGCTTGCTGCAGGTCCCTTGAGGGTTCCACTTAGGGTCTGACAGTGGGGTGAAGGGGGTAAGTCCTTTCTCGTCTTTGCGACTTCCCCATCCAAGATTCAGGTTCTTTTGACATCTTGTCTTAAGTCAGTTGTTTACTTCCGGTCTACTGCGTTGCCAAACACGCCACACACTCACACACATACGGAGAGAGACTTATAGACGTACAGGCGCACATACAAAGAGCCGGGTGTGTGGATGTGTTTACAGTTGGCTCACATTGAGAGACCGTGAGGCAAGAAACACAGCTTATAGCAGGATCCGTAGTGGTGAGTTTTCTCTGGACCACATCTAAGTTTTATTTCCTACAGCAGGGTGCAAAGCAACCGCATCTGCGGGAATTTGAAGCCCACACCTCTAAAACTCCCCGAAGATCCAGGCTTGGCTCGCTTCCATTCTCTGGTGTCCGGCTCTCTATTTTCAAACCCTTGCCACCTGGCAGTGGTGGTGCCTTCGCAGCCGGAACAACGGGTCCGTCAGGTACCACAGTCAATGCCCGACTGCTCATGCTATGGCTTGGATCTCCTGGTGTCAACTTAGATACATCGCTCCGCCACCCAAGCCCCCCTGCATTAAGGCGAAATCTGGCCCCCAAACCTGATTTCAACTTCCTGCCTCCTTCCAGGAGCCTCCTCCCTATTCCCCCTACCCTCCAGTACCAAGGATGATCGTAGTCGACTTCCGAATCATAATCATCGTCATCATAATCATCAGAGAGATCATCTGAACCCTCGTCGCCGTTATTATCGTCAAGGACTCCCTCCCCACCATCACCCTTAATCTGCAATGTAGAATTACTCCTCTGCAAGCTCATGTGGCCCTTCATCTGCGCTTCCGTTAGCCAATTTGGAAGCCGCCGACCTCCTCCTTCGCCATTCATCAGAGTGCTACCCACCACTGTAAAGGATGCACGAGGTCCGTTAATACCGAGTAGCCGAGGCCTTTCGCCATATTCAACCCCATTTTTAAGTTGTAATTGCTTCATTGATTGCTGCCCCAGCATGCCCTCACCAAACTTCTGCATCTTCTCTCTCCCATTCACAGGACGCTTCACCCACGGTTCAAGCTTCCTCTTGCCCGTGGCAGCCCAATCAGGGAGCCTTCTGCCTTCATTCTGCTTATCCTCCATGCTGTCTTCATCATCATCACTGTTGATTTCCGTCAAATCAACAGTCAAACATTGCTTCTTCTCGGGGTTCTTTGAGAAAGCGGGCAGCGGATAACATCCACCCCTTCCTCCTGTGCTCACACCAACTTTCTTCTGTCCACTTCGTGTCGCCATGTCGCAACCACTGCCATTCATGGCAAACCTACGGCGCTTCGCTGTGCCTCCATGGCCGTTACTTCCCTCCGAGTCAGAGTCAGAGTCAGAAAGATCGATGACAACTCGAGAGGAAGGTGTTCCATTCGAAGAAGGTTTGACGTCAGGCAGCGACAGTCCTGTTGACTTCTGCTCCTCGCTTCCAGAGGGTGCCAAAACTTCTGTGTGTGGTGTTGTCGCCGGAGCATCAAGGAAGCAATACCTAAAAGTTAGAAGCATGATCCGAACCATCCATCTTGATCAACAGTCACTCACGCTCAAAATCTCTTGACAACCACGACTTCCCAGTTGCAAATGTTTCAGTATATCAAGCAAGCACTCACAGTCTCACACTAGCCAAACCGGTCTCAAAAAAGCCAACATTCAGACCCGAGAGCGGGCAATCAGTCAAACAGCCAAGGATTATTACCGGGCGAAATCAGAGCCATGGAAAGTTTATCAACAAGCGAGCGCATATGTGCCTTCACAATGCATACAGGCAAGCCGCCGCTGGCATTGCCATGAAACACAAACTTCGAGCAATGATTCAACCACGAAACAACAATGCATCTTATCCGCCCATTTCATCAGGATCCAAGTCGGTCAAACGATGGCGCTCACAGCCTTCAGTACATCCATTTCTGTGTCTTGCTGATTAATCCACCGAGGTTGCCATTCTCTAGGATTTGGTTACTCTCTTCTCCCAAATATTCGGCATGGTCATTATAGAGAGGATATAGAGAGGAAGCTTGGACGAGATACAGCTATGGTGTCATTCAGGCAAAGACAGCAAGGAGGGTGATGGGTGGGTGATGGGTGGGTGGTGGTTTGGCCTGGGTCACCCAAACCACAGAACAAGGACCAGCTGCAAAATATGCTCCCCCCCTCTTCCTTCCCTTCCCCCCCCTCTTCCTTCCCTTCCCCCCCTCTTTGAAAAATGGGTCCAGGTGTGGCGGCCCAGAGAGATGAGTAAAACAAAGGGCCTAGGTCCAGCTGCCCAGGCCCAAAAAGAAGAACCAGGAAAAAAAAGATGCCCTCCTGCAGTCCAGGGCCGAACTTCTTCCCTTAAAGAAAGAGGGAGTGGATCTACCACAATATGGTATAGATTCGCTCCCAATTTAAAATTTGCCGCATAGAGAATTCGCGCCCCTCGCCCCAGGTTAGTGGCAGGCGACACTGGTGGGTGGCGCAAGGTGGACCAGCGGCGACATTAGACAGGTGGCAATGCTACAGCGGGGTTCTAGCGAGGAGAGAGAGAGAGAGAGAGAGAGAGAGAGAGAGAGAGAGAGAGAGAGAGAGAGAGAGAGAGAGAGAGAGAGAGAGAGTGCGGGCGGGTCTGGGTGAGGGGTTTTCCCGGTGGCGAGCCAGTCAGGCGTGGGGTAGAAATTTCAGAAAAACACTCGGATGGGCCACGCAGGCTTGCAGCAGATAGTAAAATGCTTGGGCGAGAGAGGGTGGGACTGAAAAAACAACTGGGCTCTGATCAGAGTCTACACTGAATGGCAACATCACAGTGTCAAGGAGGTCCTGAGTGGTAGACACTGAGGTAGGACTAGGGGAACGGGGGTGCGCTGGAGAGAATTGACCAGAGGAAGGGTGGGTCGGGTCATATAAGGGGTAGGACAATTCAAACAAAAAAACAAAAAAAGGAGAGGCACCTTCTACAGACGAGCAGGCCACACGTCAGTCCTCATCGACCTTCATTGTGCAAACACTACTCGAGCACATGCTCACAAGACAATGCTGGCAAACTTCTATCATCCAAATGTGATTAGAAGGTGGGATGCGAGATGAACATTTCCACTCTTCAGAACAGGAACAGAACCCAACTCCAGGAGAGGAAGCATGTGGTATGTTTGCACTCCCTCCCTCTCATTGGATTGCAGAGAAGAACCATTTATGTTGGCTGCATTGCCGCTACAATGATTAAATGCATTACGTTAGAATAGTCATGACAATGCGAGCAAAATGTGGGCTGAGCTGAGCATCAGAAGTTGAAACGACCAAGGAAAGGTGGCATGGCAAAAGAAGGCATAGAATGATGTGCTGCCACTGACAAACAGCTAAAAGTACACGTGCTGCTGTGCATGGGTTTCATGCTCCCAACACATGCATTCACTGAATGCTGTGCGTGGGCTGTGTATGGGTTGCTTGCTCGCAAAACATGAGTGCATTGAAAGCACCTGAATGCTCATGCCAAACGGTACCTTGACATGGTGATATCTCTACCCCTTGCTGTCTCTGCTCTTCTGCCTGCCGATGCTCCCCCTGCTTGTGTGCTTGACTGACCTGTTGCGGTTGATGTGTATGCTGATGCAGGGGAGATAGTTGATACTGTGAGGACGATGGCAGCAACAACGTACTTTGCTCTCCCTTCTCTGATTGCCCACATGGCCCATGATGGAGTTGCTGTGACGGTCCACCTTGTTGGTGAAATCCTTCAATCCATTGCTGTGATGGTCCTTGCAATAACCGCTGCTCCGCAGGTCTGCAAGCAGGCGACTGCTGTTGCTGCTGAGACTGCCGAGACTGCCCCTCATGCAGCTGTGGCCGCTGACACTGTTGATGATTTTGGTGTTGTTGGTGTTGCGGTTCGTTGAGCACTGGCTGCTGTGGGCTGATCCATGGCTGTTGCAGCTTCTCCTGTTGCAATGGCAGTGACAACTGCTGCTGCTGCAGCACCGCGGGCAGCTGTGGCAGCTGCTGCTGTTGTTGTGGCTGCTGTTGCTGTTGTTGCTGCTGTTGCTGCTGTTGCTGCTGTTGTTGCTGGTGCTGTTGATGGTGTTGATGTTGTAGCGGGTCGAGAGCTGGCTGACGAGTGCTGATCAATGGTGGATGGTTCTTCTGCTGTTGCAGTGGCGTTGAGAATTGCTGCTGCTGCAGTGTTGGCAGCTGTGGCTGCCTCTCCTGCTGCTGATGTTGCTGTTGCCGCTGCTCCTGCTGTGGTTGTTGCTGCTGCTGTGCCTGTTGCTGCTGCTGCTGCGGCTGCTGCGGCTGCTGCGGCTGCTGCGGCTGCTGCTGCTGCTGCTGCTGCTGCTGCTGCTGTCGTTGCTTTTGCTGCTGCTGCGGCTGCTGCCGCAGTGGAGTTGCAGACGTTGTTGGAGATGCATGTTGTTGAAGATGTTGATGATGCAGACGGATGCGCTCTGGCCGTTCTGGGCTGAGCCATGCTGGCTGCTGCTGCTTCTGCTGCATTGGTGGCATCTGTGGCTGTTGCTGCTGCTCCATTAGTGGCAGTTGTTGCAGTTGTTGCTGCTGTTGTTGCTGCTGTTGGTGCTGCTGTTGTTGCTGCTGTTGTTGCTGTTGTTGCTGGTCAGTATTGAATGGGTGTTCCTGATGTTGTAGTTTGAATGTTTGCTGCAAATGCAATGTCGAAGACAGCGGCTGTGAAAGACTCAGTTGATTTAGACTGTCACCCTGCTGTGGTGGCAGGTCAAGCTGCCATTGATCTTGATGCGACTGCTGTGGTTCTCCACCCTTCGACAAGGACTCCAGCTGTCGCTGCAGCTTCTGTTGTTGCTGCAGAATGCTGAGCATCTGCTGGTGCTGCTGCTGCTGCTGCAGATCTAGATGATGATTATGTTGATGTGAATGCTGCAGTTCTACAACCTTCAACAAGGACTTAACCTTCGACAAGGACTCCATCTCTTGCTGCAGGTTCTTCTGTTGCTGCAGAATGCTGAGAACCTGCTGCTGCTGCTGCTGCTGCTGTCTTAATATCTCGAATGGGCTTTGTTCCTGCAGTTGGTCCATCTGAAGTGCCAGTGGCTCCGCTTGCTGCGGCAGAAGGCCTACCTTCTGCTGCCATGGATGGACTAGCTGTGACGGAAGCTGTTTCTGCAACCCATTCAGCCCCTGTGACTTCGACTCTAGACCAACCATCTCGCATCCAAGACTCATCGGACCCAGTGGTTGTGAAGGCTGCAGAGACCGCACCACCTCTGAAGATGAGCAGTTCTCCAAAAGCTGTAGAGTGTGCAGGTGATACTGCTGCAGAGATTGCTTTGTTTGCTCCTCCTCCGCTTGACAGACTCCCAGATTTCCAAGCATCTTCTCATCTCCGTCCACTCCCCTGATCCAAAGGGCCTGTTCGGTTGGCACCTGCTGAGTTTGCTCTAGAACATGCAATGACTTCTCCCGCAGCTGCTTTGCCACCTCCTGCTGGCATTGCTGCCCCTGCTCCTGCTGTTGCTGCTGCTTTGCACACTCTGGGAACTTCTCGCACTGATCACTTGCCCTTGGTTGGTCAAACAGCATTCCAAAACGATTGTTGCCCTGCAACTGGCCAGGTAATGTCTCGCTTCCTCTGTCTTGCAGTGTGTTATGACCAGACAACAACTCACCTCTCCATCCCCCTACTGAGACATTCTGGGAGGTATCCCCCGATATTTCCTGACTCATCACATCATTTCTGATCCCGCTCTGCGCAATCAGCTGTTGCTTTGGAATGTTCTCAGCTTGAAGCCAGCGCATAGACGACCCAGTACCATTCGCCTTGTGAGCATTTTCATTTCCAACCTGGCAATTGCCGAGCTGTCCATAATCATCACTACGAACACCCGCCTTCCCAACCGAAGCACTCCACTCCTGTTGGGCTCCAGTTTCCACTCCAGCTGCAATTTCCATGGCATCCCCCCCCTCGTTCTCCTTCGCAGCCTGAAGCATCGAGCCATCCCCTCCCGCTAGAGGCATCAGACGCATCATCTCCATCTGCACCTGGTGTCCAGCAAGATTTCCTTCCATGACCCTTTCCTGTCTTTGTTCCCCATTCCCGTTCCTTCCTTCTCGTTCTTTGGGTCCTCCTCCATTACCTCCTCCTGCTTGCTGCAATCGACAATTGCTACTGCCATAGCCTGCTCCTAAAAGCTCTTGCCAACCCTTCATGCCCTCCATTAGACTGTCATCACCACCTCGCCACAGACCTGGCTGCCAGTGCTGTGCCATCTTCCGACCATTACCTCCGTCGTCTCCTGACAGCTGAATTAAGAGCTGCAGAGACCCGTCTCCCTCTCTCCCCTCACGTCTTACATCGTCCCGTCCACTCTGAGAACCGGAAGGTTCCCCGCTCATTCCACAGTCGTCATCAAACGCACGGCAGCCATCGGGAGCTGATGCTGTAGCATCTCCGCCTCTGTCTTCAGCTGTGCCCTGGTCAGCTGCACACTGTCCTCCTCCCTTGAATCGGTATCCCTGCCATACACCCCCACCTTCGCCCATCTTCTCCATGATTAGATCCGTCGTCACAGCATCACCAGCGACACCACCAGCAGAGGTGGAGAGACGAGGAGCACACGAAGCTGAACATGCAGTAATGTCACAGGGAGGAGGAGACAGAGGTTGACCACCACCAGCAGCAAGACTAACGCTGTCACTCCCTCCACTAGAAACGGCCATGTCCAATCTTTCCTCCTCGCTTGCTCGTGCTAACTTCTTTAACTCCTCGTTGAAAACCTCCCAGGGGATGTACGAGCCTGTAAACCAATCAGCATCTCCCAACACATCAGAGCAATCACCTCCCTCCTCATTTGTCCCCTCCCATCCCCCATCCTCGTCGTTCATTTGGACATCATTCCGACGTTCGTCAAGCTGATCGTTCAGCTGAAGCTGCTCCGCAGCATCTCCCCTGTTCTGCGCCAATGACAGCGCTCCTCTCGCAGTAGCAGCACAACTCAAGAACGTCCCCATTGCCACATTCAGGGGGTCTTCGTCCATTTGCTGCTGCTGCGGCTGCCGACGGGTCATCATCTCCATAGCCACTTCTCTACCACCTGTGTCGTGCACAACCCGTTAAGTCTTTTGCACATCACCGACAAGGGAACCACCACCAAAGGAGAGATGACATCAGTACCATCACAAAGGTCGGGCCGATCATCTCTGGGCCCATTCATGCAAAAGTCGGCACACTCATCTCTGGGTCCGTTCAAGCAAACGCATCGAAATGCAGCGTGCTCAGAACAGTGTATATCACAGACAGCAAGAGATGGCCGATTGGTGGGTTCAGAGTCTACAGCAAATCCAAGATGAGATGAGCTGTATGCAGCAGGTAGGCCGATCGCCTATTCCTGCACAAAAAAATGGATTATTTCCCACGCAACACGTGTCATCAATCAGCTCCACCGATCAGCCGCTGAGCTGTCCCAGTGCGAGTTAAGAAACTTGTATATACATTATCAAAAGAAACTAGGCATTGATCTCTCCATTGTCAATCTGATTGTTGAACTAGCTGTTTGAAGCCGCATAGATCATCCACATTTCACCACAAGCCTTGTCATTTTGCAGAAGGGATTCGAACCCCCATCCTATTCTTCTGAAGTTCTGAAGTAGCACTGACAACCTTGAACCCATTCGTACCCAAACACAGAGGAGGAAGGTGATCTGAGATCTGCTTCCAGCCATCGATGACAGTGATCACCATCCTCTCCTCCTACTCCCCCATGCGCTTTACAGAACGAATCCTCTCTCGTCCTGTGTTTCCCTCGGCCTGTCCGTGATGGTCAGCGAGTGGAAAGCCCCGTCCTTCTCTTCACTTCTCTCTCGCCTTTTGCCCAAATGCTAACCGTTTTATGCCACAGCTCCTCATCATCATCATCAGCAGCAGCATCGCCCTCCCTCGCTCTCCACCTCTTTTGCTTGCAAACAGTGCGACCCTCTCGTCCCATTTTCCCTCTGCATGTTCCTGATGGTCAGCTAGTCGAACCCCCATCCTTCTCTTCCCTCCCCTCTCACAAGCACTAGCCGTTTTATGTCACAGCTCGTCATCATCATCATCACCAATCCTTGCTCTCCACATCCACGCTCTCTAACAATGCACAATGCCTTACATCCTTCCAAATCCTGTTATCGGGATGAATAGAGTCCAGATCTGGATCCAAAAGGGGAAACAGAACCTAAGGACGGCAAAAGATCCTGTGCGTCTGATGGGCTGGTTAAGATGGGAGCACGGACAGTGGGCGAACTCCTGATAACAGAAGCGAAGGCAGCACTGGTAATACTCGTGGGAATGATGGTGATGGTTGTCATGACGGTGATGGCGGTCGCAATGGTGATGGTGGTGATGACGATGATGGCGGCAATAGTGTTGATGCAGGGGATAGCTCGGATAGCGATGGCAGGACCGATAGGGGTGAGAGTGGGGAGGCAGGCGACAGCGGCAAAGTCGGTGAGGCTACAGACGAGGATGAAGATGGAGATGGTGAAGATGGAGATTGCGGCGAAGATGGAGGTGTGAAAGATGGGTATGGTGGCGACGAAGACAACAGAGCTGACGAGAGTGATGATGGAAGTGGGTGAGTCGCCAGAGACGCAGACGACGGAGGCGATGCAATTGAAGGATGAAGATCCTGGTAGTCTGTTGATGGGATATGAGAAGGCATCGTCATTTCCTCCTCCAATTTGGCTCCTTGGACCCCTCTTCCTCCGCCGCCGCCTTCTCCTTCGCGCTCCTAATAGTCATCTTCGTCCTTGTCAAAAGCACCCCGGACTTGCCCACCACTTCATTCGTCTGCCTGATCACTCCCACGCTGATGTAGAAACGCAATCTTTCTGCAGCTGCGAAGCAGAGGTCCAATCAGAGAAAATCAACTAATCACTCCCTCCTCTCCTATTCCCTCCCTTCCCACCCTCCGCCCCTCTCCCTTCTGGCCCCAAAACTCACTCCCTGCCTCTCGAACCCTTAAACCCTCTCCTTCTCCCCTTGTCCCCTTCTACCGAGGATACTAACGAGACAAAGATTACATGCTGGGATCAGATCTCCACTCCCGTCTTCATCCACATCCCTTCTCAAGCTACGGGTCCCAGTGAGCTGACTTGTGATCTCTCACTGAGTATTCGTTTTTGTCTTGTCCTGTTCCTATCCTTCTTGCTCTCCTGTAGGTGATGCTCCCCGCATTTTCCTATTTGGACCCTACTTTCCTATTTTGAACCCACCCGTAGACTTGCCGCAGGGGCCTATAAAACTTTTCCGTTGCCGTTCTGCCAGGTTCATTCAACATTCAAGACCCGACCGAGAGAGTGCCACGTAGCAGCCCCCCCATGCAGAAGGAAACCTGGCAAAAGAGCGAGAACCTCACTCAACCACTCACTCCCATTTCAACCTCCTCCTCCCCTCAATCAACCACTCTCCATTTCCACCTCCTCCTCCCCTCTCTACCTGCATATTGCTCGCCTCCCCCCAGCCCCCCGAGAAAGAAAGAGACAACGAAAGTATTCGACGCAGTTCTCCGTCTCAGCCTGTCTTCACGAACGATCCACGTGGCACTTCAGGGTTGGTAAGCTTAATCGACGGTCCTGCGTGCCCTGCACCACAAGCATTCTCAATCACAGCACAATCCCACAACTGCCCCTCATTAGGCCCCCTTTTACAGATAGCTCGCTACTGCTTCACCACAATCATCGCCGTCATCATCCACCATGAGCATCATCACCATCATCACCAACCACAGCATAATTCCATAAATACCCCCCATCAGCCAACATTTTACGATAGCATGGAAAGATACACAGCCTACAAATGTTCAAAATGAGAGTGAATCTTCCTCTATAACATGGAAAGATACACAGCCATGGTTTTATCTTTTGTCAATGTTACGTAAGTAGTGGAGCGAGGACCAAAGTCTCCACCATTATTTCCCGACAATGGGAAGGTGAGAATCACAACGTTAAAAATGTTATGAACTTGGTTGTTTGACACTTGGATTGCCACTCACACACAACAGAACTCACACATGCCCATACATGCACAAGTCAGGGGGAGGAAGAGACAGAGTCCACCTGCACACACATCAGAGATAAGCAGCGAAATAGCAACCATGCACAGATGGGGAGAATACACACACAGTGTTCTCACTCTCTAATGAACTCCCAACAACCAATCACAATTGACACTGCGAAGATCACAATCGGAAAGTAACCCAGATGATGAGCCAACTCAACACAATTAACCCAATAATCGTTACAGAGTTTAACCCAGTGTCTCGCCACTCAATTACCACCCACTCCACTCACTACCACACACTCAGAGTCTAGCACTGCACTGAAACAGCCTCCCAGAGGCCAGCGCCATACACCCAGACGCAGATCATGAGTAGCGAAGTAATCTCCAGTGTCGATGAGTCCCTCTGACGATGAAGAGGACAGCTATGGCTGTCCGACTGCTACCGCAGCAGCAGAACCCACATATCCTCAGTGAAGACCTCCGATATAGCCTGCCACCGCAGAGATCCCCCAAGGGATAGCTGCGCTGAAGACAGTCAGTAGGTCGGCTATGGCTGCTCCACTGCGCTGATGTCTCAGGTGCCGCTGTAGGCATTCAGCGCTGCTCAACTTTGTTGGCCACCAACGCTGCACGCGAAAAATGAAAGCCAAAAGTCCCCCTACCAGTTTCCCTTCCCGACTTATAGATTCCTACACTAGCCTAGACCTAGACCAGACTGACTGGACCTACCGGTACCGTTGCTGTTTCGGCCTCTCGGCCTCTACCGGACCCGGCTATAGGCTATAGGACCGTATAGCAGTATAGGCCGCTTAGGGCCTGTCTGTCCTAGGGTAGCCCGGGCCTGCTATAGGCAGTTAGGGTWGCTGTAGAAATTYGATTAGTACCRGGCCTGTATTTTTCCCCGGAATTGCAGATCTGTCCCTCACGAATTTCCAAACAGGCAGGTTTCTCGGTTAGCCCTCAGCCAAACAAGATTTACAAAACTAACCCTACGGTTAGTGTACAGCCTCGCAGTCAATCTCGGCAGCAGAAATCAGCAAGTCATTGCAAAAATAACAAATTAGAAATTAGAAATTAGAAATAAAAATTTCAAAATCACACGTTACCGTTCAGTGAATGCCAAACTATCGTTTTCCCCCGAACAGAACGCACCCTCATTTTGGCCGCATCGGACCGGAAAAATAGCTTGTATACATCCGTTATCAGGGTGCGTTGTGTTCGGGTGACGACGGTAGTTCCAACAGCAGGACACTGACTTGGCGCACACCTCAAAACCCTTAACGGAACGGAATCAAACGGAGTGTCGAGGGTTTCGTTGATCCCGGAGAACAGAAGAATTCCAAGCAGTCATCGATCTGCCCCACAACCCCTCAATTTGTTGACCTCCCACTGTGGGCTTTGTCAAGCATCCACACCATCCTGTCCACCACACACCATCATTGTCTCTCTTCACTCCCCTTTTCTCTTCTTCCTGATGATTTTCTCCCCCAACCACCTCGTTCGTTTGGTTCTTCTTCTCTCTCTGCCTACTACTCCCTTCATCATCATCATCATCATCATCATCATCATCATCATCATCTTCCTCTTCTTCTCCTTCTTTTTCTTCAGATTGCTCCTTCTTCTTCTCTCTCTACCTACGACTGCCTTCGTCATCATCTTCCTCATCATCTTCTTCTTCTTCTTCTTCTTCTTCTTCTTCTTCTTCTTCTTCTTTCTCTACCAACGACTGCCTTCATCATCTTCTTCTTCTTCTTCTTCTTCTCTCTCTACCAACGACTGCCTTCATCATCATCTTCATCTTCATCTTCTTCTTCTTCTTCTTCTTCTTCTTCTTCTTCTCTCTACCAACGACTGCCTTCATCATCATCTTCTTCTTCTTCTTCTTGTTCTTCTTCTTCTTCTTCTGCTGCTGCTGCTGCTACTGCTGCTGCTGCTGCTGCTGCTGCTGCTGCTACTGCTGCTGTTGCCCACATGCATCGTGGACGACACGTGTCGAGAAGGATGCTGAGTTGTCTCGACGGGACTTGATCATCCTTGTTCTTCCTCTCAACGTTACATTCTTTCTCTCAAGTGTCTTTTCCCTCTTTCATCCCCTTAGGTCTTTCGGTTTATATGTGTGTCCGTGCGTACCGATGTGTCAGTCTGTTCTGGATTTTCACCACAACAGCCCCTACCGGTAGTCCACCCAGACGAGCAGATCCAAAATCAAAGCATATTCAATCCTATTGCAGACAACGAAAACACTTTTGATTTGAGACTAACCAACAACGACACAGTTTTACCTTACAGCAAGCCACACAGAGCAAAATAGAAGCGTTTAAATCCCTTTCTTAACTGTGTGCACTTTGGCTTTTTGGGGTACCCATTTTTCACTTGTCCTTGCAACTCCCCTTTTCACCGTGCCTCTCTACCTTTCATTTGTCCTTGCAATCCCTTTCTTGTACAAGGCTCGCCACGTTGACTGTGGTTGAGCGCGAGCTGCCCACATCCCGGTATGCCATAACGGCCCACTTGCATGCTCGTCATACATACAACTCCACAAAAAACGCATTACTGTGCCAGACTGTTTCGTCGGACTTCCACCGACTGTGTATATATCTATGTCTATGTGCGTCTATATGTGTGTATGAACCCCGTGTGTATGTACGTGTGTGTATATATTGTGTATATGTTGTGTCTCCATGTGTGTGTATAGTTGTGTGTATATCTTGTGTGTATATGTTGTATGTGTACGTGTGTGTGTATATGTGTGTGTGTGTGTTTGTGTCCTGCTTTTGTCTGTTTGTCTGTGCGTTTGTGTGTCTGTTTGTGTGTCTGTTTGTGTGTCTGTTTGTGTGTGTGNTTGTGTGTCTGTTTGTGTGTCTGTTTGTGTGTGTGTGTGTGTTTGTGTCCTGCTTTTGTCTGTTTGTCTGTGCGTTTGTGTGTCTGTTTGTGTGTGTGTGTGTGTGTGTGTGTGTGTGTGTGTGTGTGTGTGTACGCACGTTCGTGCGTGTGTTTGCGTCCTAAGGGCGAGATGAAGGGCTCGAACCGGGACAAGACAAAAGCCTTTGCTTAATTGAAGAGCAAGAAGATAGAGTTAGACTTGGAGCAATCTTAGCCTCACGATGATTAATCGTGACGGTGGACATGGCACAGCGATCCCGACTGTAAAGAGGGATATGACAGTACAATGATAATCCACGTCGGATAAACACGAACCCGATCCCGATCCCAATCGTTCGGAGAAACCCGAACCCAATCCAACCCGATCCCAATCCAAATCGGATAAACCTGATCCCTCCCCCCAATACAAATAGGATAAACCCGAACGCAGTCCAAATCCGATAAACCCGATCCCAATCTAAATCGGATAAACCCGCTCCCAACCCAACTCGAATAAACGCGATCCCGATCCACTTCGGATAAGCCCGAAACACGATCCACGTCGGACGGATACAATCGAAACCCAATCTCGACTCTGGAGTCGGAACCGGTCGCGACACGTCAGATCGCGACACGTCGGATCGAACAGGCGTCCAATCAAGGAACCGCAGTCCCTTTTTTTTTTTTTTTTTTTCCTCTTCTTTTTCGTTTTTTCGTTCAAGAACACATGCAATTCATTATAGCTCACATCGAAAATAAAAATAATCCCAATCCGACGAATACGGCCTCGCTCGACTGCCCACGACATGCAGAAAAGGCAAAAAAGTATGGCGGTGCATCTTCCCATGTTCTAACGGCAGATTCATTCTCATTTTGCACATTTGGTGAGTAGTGGATCAATGGCAAAAATTTTGTTTGTTTCCAAAATTAAACAATCGAATAATCCAACAAAGCCAAAAGCGCACATTATTATCCTACATACACATTATATTATTTATATATATCGTAAAACAGAGCTGCACATTACATATTATATATCGGCAAACAGAGCTGGCCGGTAAACCGTAGGCAGAGAGGATGAGAAGAGGAGAGAAGAGGACAACAAACGAGGGGCTGTGACAAACTGTTTCGCGTCGGAGTTTCACCGACTCTTCAGGAGGCTATATACAATCAAGATCAGCCGTGATTCCAACCCCATCCAGCGACACGTGGCTTAGGACAAAAGCACCCAAATCACATTAAAAAAAAAAAAAAAAAAAAAAAGGCCCTTAATGGTCCTGCCTCCATATCCATTCCGGGGAGCTTTAGTCCGGTTCCTTCCTCCCCCCCCCCCACCCCACAAGTCATGAAACTTACAGCAGATCTGCGCAATTATATCTGCTATTATTACAGCGTCAGTCCCGTTCCTTCCCCATTCTCAACATTCGTTAAGGTAAACTTACACCTTATTACCTCGACTTATCCGTTTTTATTACTGATCCAATTATATCCCATTATATATATATCGTCACAAATTTATCAGAGCGCAAATGCGAAAAAAAGAAGAAATAAATTCATTTTTTATCTTCTTCCTTACAAGACTCCCCCTGTTCAAAACCTCTTGCGTACAAGGCCGCCCACGTGGATGTAGGTTGAGCGGCGGCTGCCCCCACCCCCGTGTGTCATATCGACCCACTTGCACACAGCCAAAAGGCGAAGAGGAAGGGAACAGCCAAACATTACAGAACAGGGGGCAAACGAATCCTAGATGAAAAGTCCCACATGCAGACACCGCCCCCGACAGCACAGGCCAAACGACGGGACAAACCAGCCAGGATTCAAGACACGGGAACTGTGAGATGGTTGAACGATGAGTCAGGCCATTTTGGACATAAATGAATACCAGAGAACAAATTCTACCATCTCCATAGCAAAGAATCTGAAGCAAAGAACACCTTATCTGCAAAAAAAGGAGGACAATCCCCCCTATAGACTTATCTCAGTATTACCCATAGACTTTTCCCGGTATTACCTATATATCGTCAAATAGAACTGCCCGGTAAACCGTAGGCAGAGAGGGAGAAGAGGACAACAAATGAGGGGCTGTGACAAACTGTTTCGTCGTATATATTTATCCTCCTGGTATTGCCTATAGACTTAGCCGGTAACATCTAAACGGCTGGTTTTTTTTTGTTTTTTTTTTTGTAATAAGATGCCGTTTCTCACACACTGCCCCAGATCAGTTATAGATCCGTAAATCTGGGCCTAAGGCCCTCCTCCGTGTAAGCACACGGATTCGAACGGGTGACCTCGGCCTCAAGACCTCCCCCTCTCTTCCGATCTCCCGACTCCATCCTCCATATGATAGGTGACCGACCATCCCTTCGGCCTTATATCCTTTTGCACATTTCCTTTCAAATCCAAAAAAGTGGCAAGTCAAACAAGATCCAAAAAAAAAAAAAGGGGCCAGAAAACCAGACAAACCGGCAGCCAAAATCGACCAATATCCAAAAAATTAAAAAAAAATTAAAAAATCGAACAAGACTAATGACCCAGCTTTGCAATATACGAGATCGGGATCTCTGAACGGACAGTCCCAATCCGATTTTTTGCCCGCGGAGAAAAAGACAAAAAATACGTCCAAGTACACGATCAGATCCTGTAAATCCCATCCATCCATTCTGTGATAGATGTTTACCTTATTTGCAACGTCACGTCCTGATTAGGTCCTATATCCCTTTCMCCCCCCCCCCCCTCCTCCGGGTGCCCCAAGTCCGGTCCTACCACCCACACTACCTCACATATCTATATCCTTACCCACATCCTTATCCATATCCTTATCCATATCCATATCCTTATCCATATCCATATCCTTATCCATATCCTTATCCGTATATCCTTATTCATATCCATATCCTTAACCACTATTTTATCCTATATCCATCCATCCTTTTCCTCCCTTCTCCTGCTGGTCTTCTCCCCACAACTGCTATGCATCAAGATACAGCACCCCACCTAAACGACCACCGACCACCTATCACCTCCGCTGTAGAAACGTTTTCTATTCCATCGTTAATGTCCATTCCCCTTTCTCCCTTTTCAATCCGAATTTCAACAAAAGAAAAAAAAAAAGACCGTTCGTTTTGGGAAAGTTCCGACGATCAGAGAGGAGAGATCGTTCGTTTCCTTTCCCAAAAGAGGAAAACATGAAAGCAAAGATCGTTCGTTCCCTTTCCCAAAGAGGAAAACATGAAAGCAAAAATCGCTCGTTTGCTTTCCCAAAGAGGAAAACATGAAAGCAAAGATCGCTCCTTTGCTTTCCCTAAGAGGAAAACATGAAAGCAAAGATCGTTCGTTTACTTTCCTCAAGGGGAAAGCATGGTTGCATTTGAGGTCGTTTCCATATCCACCCGTTCGTAGGTCGACATTTTCGGTGACGTCAACATTATCATCTGGGAATAATGCTGACGCCATCAGCCATACTACCGTTTATTTTCGCCCGACTGCAATAAAGAACGAATGCGGAAGAAAAGAAAGGGGGTCAGGGGGGATGAAGGCGGAGGGTAGAGGGGAAGAAGAGGGAAGAGGGGAAGAAGAGGGAAGAGAGAAGGGGGGGACAGAGAGGGCAGAGGGGGGGACTAGGGGGGGAGAGAAGGGAGGAGGGGGGGGGGGGGGGGGGAAGGGAAGACAAGCAGACACACAGAGAGCAGCCACCATGTCTTTGAGAATACCACCTGTTCTTCCTATCGTTGCTTTTATCCCCTTTTTCTCGTCCGTCTCCCCAGCCCCCCCTCCCCCCCCTCCTTTTTACCCCTTTCTTCCTCCCTTTTCTTCCCTTTCTTTTCTCCTTTTACCCCTTTCTTCTTCCTTTTTTCCTTCCTTTTTTTCCCCTCATTTTCCCATTGCCTCCCCCCTTTATCATTCCTTTCCTCCTCCTTTTTTTCCCTTTTTCCCCCTCCATTTTCCCCTTTTTTCCTCCTTTTTTTTTTCCCCTTTTCCTCCTTGATGCCCTTTCCTTCCTCCTTTTTTCCTTCTTTTTTTCCCTCCTTTTATCCCTTTCTTCTTATTATTTTCTCTTCCTTTTTCCTTTCTCCCCTTCTTCCTCCTCCTTTGTCCCTTTTTTCTTCCCTTCTTCACTTTTTTCCCCTCTTCTTCCTCCTTTCTCCTACTCCCCCTCAGGACTTTTTTTTTTTTTTTTCCGTTTTCATTTGGCGGAGGGAATCATTCTTTTCTTCAGTTTCCAAGAGGGCCACTGTTCTTCTGAGCGCACCGCCTTTTCATTGGACAAATAAAATAAAACTTCTGCATAGACATATATAGGACGTGACACTTTTTTTTCATTGTTTTACACAAATAAAATATATCCGATCAAAAAAGAGAACCAGAAGAGAGCTACACCTTAGAGCAGAGATTCGATAAGGTGCAAATTAAAAAAAAAAAAAAAAAAAAGCAGGGATAATCAGGTTTTTTATTTCTGTTGAAAATAAAATACGGTGTACAATAAGCCAGTGAAGAACGAATCCCTTGTTAGACGATCAAGAAGCTATAGAACACCACACTTAACCAACTTCTTCTTTCCTTTTTTCCTTTTTTCCCCCTTTTTTTTTTTTTTTTTTTTTTTTTCCTCCTTTTTTCCCCCTTTTTTCTTTTTTTCCTCTTTATTTTTATTTTTTTTTTCTTTTTTTTTAGGGCAACGGCCTCGAGTCATCATTATCGTTGAACAGGGACCCAGGTAATTCAGATATTCAATCAACTAGTTCCATCTGGACTCGAGCTCACGTCTGTATATTCCAACAGTTCATGGCAGTACGCACAAAGCTACTGTAGGCCCGTTGATTGTTTTCTTTTTTTTTATTCCCTATTTACATCTAACAAAATTCTTGATCGTCTAGAAAAGGGGGGGGTCGATCGCCAGTGGCATTTTTTTTTAAAGGGAAAAAAAAAACGAAAAAAAAAAAGCAACAAACAGAAGATGGCAGAGACGAAAGCGTAAGTGTATATGCTTTAGTCCTCTCTCGAATAGAACGCATGGTCAGAAAATGAACCCGTAGCCCACCTGTGCAGTCGTGCCCTAAGCACTGCCTTCTTAGCACTACCCGTGCCTTCTATTTGGGGGAGAACGACGGGCCTCAAATTTAACGCGACTTCTTCCGCTGTCAGTATAGCCTTCCACGTGTAATTACTTCATTCCCCATCAAGCGATCGCCGGACTCTACAGCTATTAATCGAAGATTCAACCGAAGATTCAACCGAAGATTCAACCGAAAATTCAACCGAAAAATTCAACCGAAAAATTCATCGATCAGCTACCGATCTGCCAAAAAAGGAAAACGATCAATGCTTTTTTTTCACTTACCTTTTTCGACTTTCCTTTTCCACGCCAAAAGACTTTCTATTTCCTTCCCGATGATCTGTTAATGCTTTTTTTTTTTTTTTTCCTTCTCGAAGACAGGTGCAGGAAGTAGAGGTGATCGACGGCTGGATCGACTTTTGATCCACGGGTCGATTTCTTTTCGATCGATGGATCAAAAATCGATCCCGATCCATGGATCAATTTCTGATCCGGGAACACGGGATCGATTTTTGATCCAGGAACACGGGATCGATTTTTGATCCAACACGTGGTCAAGGAGGACGGAGGAGGAGAGGGGGGCAAACAAGAGAGAGAAAAGGAGGAGGAGGAGGAGAGGTGGGCAAACAAGAGAGAGAAACGGAGGACAGGAGTAAGACCAGGAGGAGGAGGAGGAGGAGGACAGAAGGGCAAAGAATGGAAATAAGAGGAGGAGAAGCAGGAGAGGGGGAGAGAAAAGAGGAGGAGGAGGAGGAGGAGGGGGGGTAGGGAAGGAAGAGGAGGAGGAGGAGGAAGAGAGGAAGGGAAAGAGAAAGAACAAGTGGATGGGAGGAGGAAGAGGTGGATGATTATCAACGGAGACAACGCTCGCGATGCCTTATAGTCCAACCGATCTTTTTTTTTTCCGTCAATATGATGTTCAAATAATGCCAAAAAGAAAGGAAAAAAAAAACAAGAGAAGAAGAAGAGGCAGGGAAACTTCTTCCCCTTGTCTCCCCGCCATTATTCCT